ATGCCTTATTGACTCGTGTTGAGTTAAGGATTAGTTTATAATGGTTTCAGATGAAAATTAGTTTATAATTCCACCAAGAAACCTATATTTTGCTCGGCTTCAATGCTGAAGAATCTGGTATTTATCAACCAATAAAAATGTTAAGGATATACTCTATAGTTAAGTAGGTGGATGTTTTTAAATTCTATATTTTATGGTTTCTTCGCCTGCTCAGCAATCAGGGTCACCAATTGTGATCAAGTTTATGTTACGGTATGAAAAACTTTTTTCCCCGTAAAATAACCAGAATAAATAACAAAATTTATAATTGCATATATGAAATGAGATTTCCCTTCATCATTATGCAATGATTCACTAAAGAAAATTTATCTATCACCTATCAAGAATCTATTGATTATCAATAATCTATTGAAACGGTTTGACGGCTGCGCTAAAGTCGTTATAGAGTCTTTGGGTCTACTTGCACAATAAATGAGGGAGTTCTTTGAGGATTGTTCAGGATTTACACGATCAGTCTTGCATACACGGACAGATAAAAGCGTCAGCTTTTTGAATGCATGGCTGACCAATGTAAATTTACGTAACATTTGACTGTGTGTGTGTGGGGGGGGAGGGGGTGTTAGTGTGTATTATAAGCCTGACATTGGTGGTGGAATGGGGTTATGCGAGCTCATATCTACTACCGTACTCTTGTACTATCTAGATATCATTGAGATTATCGGGAAACAAATATATCTATTTTAAAATCTGGATTCACATTAGTACGCACAAGTTTGTTAGATGGGTTAAAATTTTAAAATTCAACATTAAAATTATATCTACAGTATTTTATTGATGTACATATTTTATTACATAAGTAATTGAAGGGAATTTTGAGGCAGCTCTTGGATTAATTAAGTATCCGTAGACACTCGAGATCACCTAGACCTTAACTAATCTCGCGATGAGGTCAATGATACAGTCATACAGATTAATGCGTTAGTTCAAATTTGTCAAAAACTCATAAAATTTGAGTGGGTGATTCTTTTAGTTCACTGATATGAGTGGAAAACGGCAGATGCTGAGCGATTGATCTATATACAATGCGTTTAGCATGTTCATCGCCATCACTTATGTTCGAGGAAATGAGTGTTGGAACTACCGACATCTCTGAATTATTCGGTAAAGTCCTAGGTAGTTTACTGAGAAATAAGGCATTACAATCTTCGATCGATCAAGGCCTGTTTTGGCTGGGTGGAATTTAATTTATTGTTATCGTTTCTGCAGAGATGAATGTACAAAATAATCGACCTTGCCGTTATTCTTGTTCTAATGAACGTTTTATTTTTTGCCTTGCGGTTGGGACTTACCATGTTCGGTTGATGATAATCCATGATTTTTTTTAATTAAGAATGATAGATTCAATTTTCAGGAGCGTTCAAAGAATAATCTTAAAGTATGTTCTGTCTGTGGGGTGCCTTCGCATTTGTGATAAACAAAAGTGAAGAAAATAGATTTTTTTTATCAGAGCCAAAATGATTTCGTGCTTTTAGGGTTCAGCGTAAACAGTTTTGACATTTTTCTTGAATTAATACCTCGTTCAAGAAAGTCTGAGCTTGTCTGTTTACAAAATTGTCCCGTAATTGCTGTTCTTTGCGGGCGGCGCGGATCACGTATCTTCACAACAAATTTCGTTCGTTTCAATTTACACAATTTACTGCTATGCAGGACTGCTTGATTTGAAAAGTGTAAAGCTTATTTTCAATAGTTTGTTGACTCTAACTTCCATTAACTTTTATGATATCAACAATATGAATGGTAATGTATCAGGGATACCAATATGAAGCGGCGTGTTTTAAGTATATGAATGGGAATGTTTCAAGTATACAATATGAATGGGAATGTTTCAAGTATAACAAGGCCGAAAAGGGTTTTTCAAGTTTTAAAGGACTTTTAAATACACAACAGATGATCGTGATTAAAATAACTGAAATATACTGGCGTATTTGCCATGCAAACCAACAACTTGGACAGACAATGAGAGATTAGAATCGTGCGATTCGAATATCTACGAACATTTTAACGAAGTTATAGTTGTTTCATTCTGTCTGAAACTCTTCTACGGTCATAGCTAGGCGTGTCTGCTTGGAAATCTTATTCTCTTCAATCAGCTGTGTGCGTTTTTTTATTAGTTTTCGTAGACTAATGATTGCAACAATCGTAGAAGGTAATGAGCTCAATTATTTATAAATATTATTTTCAAAGTTTTCCCAACATTGCGTTGATTTGTGTAAGAGACGTCAAGTTCCTTAACCTGTATTCATTAAACGCCGCCTGTTTGTCGCAAACATTCACCTTTATAATTGGCAGGAGATCAAATTAATCACTAGGAGGAACCAAAATTGAAATGACTATCGTAAGATATAGAATATGCGTCAAACGTTTCTGATAATTTCACGAAGTCCTAATTTGTTGACCCTGATCTTAAACAGCGTTTCATATTTAATGTTTCGATATTCGTCAAAGGTATACAGTTCAGTTAAATTTAGCTCTTCATGAAACACTTCATTTGACGGCGACATAATGCAATTAATCCATCAAACACAACAAATAATATTTGGGGTTTTAGGCATACCATTGGGGCAAGGCAATTTATCCACTTGAATGGTTGATTATATGATTTCACTAAAGAATTAAATTAATACTTGAACGAAGAAACATGATTTTTCATATTTTTGCAAATAATTATCGATCGATTGCGGCCCTTAGACATTTGTAGTGATATTCAAACGATTAACTGTAAATCTGGTGCATTAAATTTCTTGCCTCACGATTGTTTTTCACACATCATCGTTTAGGAAATTAATTGTAGCCACGTGTGTTTTTTTATCTACTCTTCTTGTTTAATATTGTTCAGCTAGGATATGGGATATGTAGGTAACACATTCAAAATTTAAAAAGCTTATCTATGCGCAGATATTGAAGTTATACAATATTTCAACGGGAAGTATCATAACATGCCAGTGCACAAAAAGCCCTAAACTCATTGTTAAACTAGTCTATATCCCAGCTGTGTATGTCCACGACATGCTTGGCTATCCATCAACATGCGTGTCCAGCACCTTGTAGTAAAGCCATTACGGGCACCGCTGGGCCCTGGGCCTTATATACGGCAACCCTCATCACCTCTCGGGGGGCAAGATGGCGGCCTTGTGATAGGATTCGATTTATCGTCGGCAGCCGTGCGATATTGAATAACTGGCACTATATATAGATCGCTCATCGTGCCTAAAAAACTAATACACATCATAAATTGTTTTTTGCCACGGAATGACAAGAAAACTATATTGTTTATATTTAGGCCGATCCTTAAGACGTATAGTTGCTTTGTTAATCGTCGTAGTGCAAATTTATTAAAAGTAAATTTCGGGATTTGCCATTAGCGATAAACCTTTTTTAATTGATCTGTTCAATGGTTGTAAAGTATAAGAATTTTTGTTAGCGTCGTATGGAATATTTGAGCCTATTTCAACAATCAATTTAGAATTGTTTTTCATGAATTAAACACCATTCAAATCTGACTAATCTGTGGAGCAACGTTCCAACTCTATAGTATAATTTGCGTTAAAACATTTATTTATTTTTCATCATTATATATATCATTATCATTATAAATTTGTATTTTAATAATTGTGGCTCTGTTTGCATTATTTTTTCATTTAATGATAGGCCTGACTTTACATTTGTAATAAAATAATGATGCTGATTCTGTTGATTTTATAAGTATAATCCACTTGTCTCATTACATCATCTGCGCACATAAAAATAAAACCAGCGCAACAGTTCACGTATGACACATGAAGATGAAACGTTTGCGTTTTTAGATCACAAATTACGCTACTTAACGTTCAACATTGTTCTGTAATTTAACACTACGGTGGACTCTCAGTAATTAACCAGCACTATTAGTGGTAGGGTAAATAACTTTCACGACTAGTGTCAGGTTTTAGTGATTAACCAACGCAGCCTGCACGACTATTGACGCAAAACTTCATGATTAATCATTAGCGATTAGAGGTAATTTGTGATTATCGCGCACGGTTAGTCATAGACCTTTAAGCTTAATGGTTGGCACTTACTGATTAACCTACACATCTGGTAGAATGTGGTGAGTCATTACATCCACGATTATCGGCTCACATTTTCTAATTTTTCACAATTGGTAGTCGGTAGTTTGAGTTGAGCGTGCATAGTTAGTGATAAAAAATTTCATTTTAAGTTAATTTCACTTAGCTATCGACCTTTACAATTAGTAGCAAGTAGTTGGTGTTTAACGTGTACGGTGAGTTAGTGGCTGCGCCTTGCTTTTTGTATTTGGATCATTAAAATAGTCCCAGCATCGGATGGCTTCCATGTGCCTCCTCTTTACTAAACGTAGGGATAATTATCCTGTTCTCTCAAGTGTGGAACAAACTAAATAATCAGAACTGCCTATCTTGATGCAGGAATAATATGTTCATGTAGATCTGGGCCCCAAATCTTAGCTTGTTTGTGTTTTTATATTAATAAAGAGGCATTAAAATTATATTTTCATTATAATTCTAATTTTTATACGTGTTGATTGGCATTTGCGATTAGACTGGTGTTCATTTTAAGGATTATCATCAAACTAGCAATTATTAATCTAACAATCACTTACCAAATAAATACTACTAGATCACATCGCAGAATTTAATTCAAGTCTAAATGAAGATGAAGATTAGGTGTGCTGTGGAGAGTTGAATGTACAAACGAGTATTCAACAATCAATAAACTTGCAAAAGCTCAGGATGAAGCTATAATCTAAGTTAACTAAATTTTAATATAATATATTTGTTATCTTCCCGAGGCATCATTCCATGGTTTATAGTGAAAGATATTTATGAAAAACATTGTTCTCTAGATGAATGCTATTATTTGAATGTCTTCTGGTCCCATTCCACTACTAAGCTTTTTTAACATTGAGTTTTCTATTGTTTCAGGTGACGTTTACAACTCTTCGTCATCATGGAGTATATGACGATGTTGGCCGAGCCAGGCCTCATTTCACAGCTCCTAGAATTGATCGACGACACAGAACCTACAGTCGTCAAGCGCACTATACGTGTCTTCACCAACGTCTACCGACACTCACTTTCTCTTCTTGCGTCAGGCGTATTGGAGCCTGATAAGTACGAGCAAAGCTACGCCGAGATCAGTGCAGTTTCAAATAAGCTCATCGGCATGCTAAAAACTGCCGATAATGAGGGAATAATTGTCCATCTAGTCCGATATCTGGAGGCTGCTCTCGTTACTCATATTCTTTCAGACTTGACTCAATTTCCTCACATCGCAAAAATGACTGCACCAGTACTCAAGAAAGGCGTTGACGCTCTTCTAGAGTTCGTCAGAACTCCTTACGTCGGAGGCAGTGCTTTTTGCGTTGCAATCCGGGCTCTAATATCTGTTGCGTGTTATCAAGTCAACTTGCGCCCATGCATTACAGATCTCGCAGAGTACCTTATTAATACTCCGCCACCGAATTTGTTTGCTCACAACATAAGGTCTTTCCACAAAACTTTACAGCGTAATCTGTTTAGGCTTTTGAAACGAGCCGAAAGTGATGCCGACAAGCAGAGACTAATAGATTTGATGGTTCAAGTCGGAGTACCGAGAAGGAGACTCGTAGACTTTGCACCGAGACCAAAGAAACGTCTTTCACCACCTGTTGTTCATGAACCTAGCACAAGCTTTCGTTTGTCACCGCCAGCTAGCAAAAGAATTAAGCTTACCGAGGAGGAGATCAGAAGATTTTGCCCTACTCCGTCTATTGAGTTAACTGCAAATGAACTTCAAAGATTCGGGCACCAGTCGTTACGGTCCGTCGCTAGAGGCAGCCCTCCCCTTGAAACTAACCTTAGTGATGGGCCAAAAGTGATACCTCTCGAGTCGAAGCCTAAAACATCCGTGTCGATCACGTCGATATTAGACCAAATTCTGTCGGACAACATTGTTACTCCTACCCTCTCTTCTTCAGAGTCGGGAATGGCCCTAAAGAAAGCATGCGGGAAATTTTCCACTCTGGAACGGCGATCAAACTCACCTTCCACGTCGAGGCGGAGCTCGCAAGATGACGCAAAGTCAATTGAAATATCTGAATTGAGCTCCAATGGTGATAGGCGCAAGAGCAGCGATTCGATTGCCTCAAGTCCAAGGTCCCCAACGCCTCCTTCCGACTCACAAAATGCAGTTAGCAACTTCGAAAAAACTATTTTAAATCTTAAACTGGAAAATGAAGAAAATATTTCCAAAGGAGCTTCAGAAATTCCTTTCTCGATGACATGTACATTGAGGGAGGGAATGATCTACGAGAAACTGGATTGCGCAATGGTTGTTGATATTCTCCTAAGTTCTTCAACGAAACTACCCGAAGAAATGCCACCCTTGCTTCAAAAAACATTCATTTATGATTTAAAAATAATGCGGGAGAAACTAGCCGTAGCTTTATCTGCCTATTTGCCAAATGACTTAGCTTCGACCAATGCTAAAAATTCCAAAGACTTGGTTACTCCATTGTCACTGCCTCCTAGGTTGGCTTCAGAAATTCAAAAAATGCTCTCATCTGGAGCCTTCCAGAGGCCGTCTGAGAAGAAGTCTGAAGATGATAAAAAAGATGAAGATTACCACAATTCCAAACTTTCTGACGACTTGCGTAGTGATTCATTGAGAGAAAAACATTCTCCTGCTAGTGAAGCTTTTTTCTCAGGCAAAGATGTTGACCTGCGTTGCGAACTTGGAAATTCTGACATTGATATGCGAGGCAACTCAAACTCAAAAATTCGCCAAAGTACATCAAACGGGAAATCTTCGCTTCAAAATTCACCCTTGAATCAGGAAATAGGTTCTCCAACCTCACCAGACTCCCCTGATCCACCTTCATTCGATCGAGATCCAAGGCTAGCAGCAAGATTGCTTGAATCTCAAGAAAATACAGACCCTAGGTTGAGGAAGAACATTCATCGAGATTCTCTTTCTCCCTCATCAAATCCGCCTCAAATAAACTCTGAAACATCTTCTAGGGATCCGCGTTTATCTCGGAAACCTGGAATGATGAACATGAACGCTCTCGCTGAAGTTTCTTTGCTGGGTTCATCGTCTTGCGCCTCCGGAGTGCCGTTGACTAATGGCGGCCAATATTTGTCCGCAGAAAATTTTAGCGCCTCCGAAACGATGCCAAATGTATTTAACAGAGATCCCAGGATAAATCCTGCCGTGCGGGACCCTCGGCAGGTGCAAGATAGTATCAACAGAGATCCTCGGAGCATCCCTCAAACGGCCGAGAATTCTCGTGACCCTCGGATCAAATTTAGCCAAAACATGCAAAGTTCTGAGCCTCCAATTCCGAATATCGACCCTCGAATAATGTCAAATATTGACCCAAAAATTATGTCCAATGTTGATCCGAGAACAATTTTGCCTAATGTAGATCCTCGTCAGGCACCTAATGTAGATCCTCGTCTGGCACCGAATGTTGATCCTCGTCTGGCATCGAATGCAGATCCTCGTCAGGCACCGAATGTAGATCCTCGTAAGTTACCGAATGTAGATCCTCGTCTGGCACCGAATGTAGATCCTCGTCTGGCACCGAATGTAGATCCTCGTCAGGCACCGAATGTAGATCCTCGTCAGGCACAGAATGTAGATCCTCGTCAGACACCGAATGTAGATCCTCGTCAGGCACCGAATGTAGATCCTCGTCAGGCACCGAATGTAGATCCTCGTCAGGCACCGAGCATGAATTCTTTTCAGTTTCCGAACCAGAACTTTAATTCACGTCAGTACCCGAACTCGGATTTATATCAGTACCCGAACGCTGGTTTACATCAGTACCCGAACGGAGGCCCACATAGAAAACAGAACACAGACCCTCGTACAATTCGTATGGACGGTCCCCGCCCCAGTTTACTGGGAGCTGCACCTCCACTACTGCAAACTCCAGCCGGCCCTCCGTTGCGACCGCTGGTGCCCGTTTATGCACCGGCAGGCACTGGCCCTGTCCACAATTTCTCCATGTCTTATGCTATGAGTCGCTATGGCTGCGCCGAGACTCGTAACCGATTCTGAAAAAAGTTATTGTCTATGTGGGAAAACGTGCGCAGATTACCGCTCGCCGTCACTTTGTGATAAGAAAAACATCGCATTGTGATCCGCCGGGCCAATTTTTTGCTCAATACGAACCAATTTAGGAGCTACTAGGCCAACTTATTATGTCCTATAATATTTTTCTGTACTGTATGTAATTAATGGTATCGAAACGCTGGTTTACATCAGTACCCGAACGCTGGTTTACATCAGTACCCGAACGGAGGCCCACATAGAAAACAGAACACAGACCCTCGTACAATTCGTATGGACGGTCCCCGCCCCAGTTTACTGGGAGCTGCACCTCCACTACTGCAAACTCCAGCCGGCCCTCCGTTGCGACCGCTGGTGCCCGTTTATGCACCGGCAGGCACTGGCCCTGTCCACAATTTCTCCATGTCTTATGCTATGAGTCGCTATGGCTGCGCCGAGACTCGTAACCGATTCTGAAAAAAGTTATTGTCTATGTGGGAAAACGTGCGCAGATTACCGCTCGCCGTCACTTTGTGATAAGAAAAACATCGCATTGTGATCCGCCGGGCCAATTTTTTGCTCAATACGAACCAATTTAGGAGCTACTAGGCCAACTTATTATGTCCTATAATATTTTTCTGTACTGTATGTAATTAATGGTATCGCCGAAAGGACCAAAATATGTGTTAGTTACAACGTTTAATCGCTACGCAACGCCGAATTACACTATACGCATACTTTTTGTTCAAATTCTGAGTTACATTTTTCAATATGTACTTATAAAAAGACTGAGGCACATCTTTCTCGTCCATAAAACAGTACTCATGGATAAATACTTGTAAATGCAGTAAATTCCGTTGCAATGATGTCGATATTAGGTTTTGTGTCTTCCAAAGTGCCAGCTTCATTTTGGTTAGCACGGCGATGCAAGTCATTTTGTTCTTGCAGTCTTGAATGAATATACGTTTACGTTTGTAGTATAAACTACTTAATTTTTTCGTTATTACTGTGCATTAGCATGGTCTAGTTGCCTGAAAATATGTTCGAGTGTCACTTATTTCATTACGATATGTATTTGATCAAAGTACAAACTTTACTGATTTGTATTTACTATAATTCATACTGATATTGTGTGATACTAATTCATGTAGTGACTATATACTATGTAATAGAACTCGCGGAACTTACTCTTTTTTCATTTTCTGGATCATTTAGGCTTTTTTTCTACAATTTATTTTCGTTTGATTATATATATCATTTGCTTGAAAATTTATCATTTGGAGGTAGTTTCATAGAGTTGATGCGTTACTCGTTTGAAAATACATTTACCCTTGAAAACATCGGTTGAGGTTTCGTTCAGGAATCGCCGCTCCTTATCTACCGTAAACTATTACTCTCTTTTCGTGATTTTTTATATCATGGTTTTGATGTCTAACCGAAATATAGGCAATGAGCTGAGCATCATACGAGCCTACCGAAGTATTTTGTTCTGTTGTATTTTTTGACCTGAATTTTCATCTAATAACTATGATATACGTTGTCTACTAGTCAACAATATGTGCTCAGTGCATGTTTTGCATCTATTGTGTTTTTCATCAATATAATGCTAAACAATATAGGTACCTAACACAGGTCATGTCATTAAACTAGTACGATCTTTTTATTGGTGCTTGTTTTTCTGTCAAGTACACCTACAAATAGTTCAATTAGTGGTTCTCCATTAGTGGTTCTCTCATATAAGATCATTTATTTCATCAAGTCATTGTAGTGTTATTGGAGCTTGGCACTATAATGACTTCATGACATTGTCAAACAAACATCGCGTTGCTCTGATTATTTCGCATTATTTCACAGGTTATTTGTGCATTCGGATTATTTTCGAAGCAGTTCTAGATCAAGAACTCGTTACGCAAATATTCCTTGCGGTTTTATTGTAACGTAAAGTGAATATTTTACCGTCATTGTGTTGCTTTGTTTAAGGTTTAAAATCCGCAGCTGCGCTGCGTTTCCTTACAAGAATTATTTATCTCACGCTGTCGGATCGCTGTTCTTTTCGGATTGAAGATTTTGCTTTATTATATCGAACTTTCCTTTATTTTGCCTTAGAGTCTTGCACATTAAGAAACATATTGGCCAAATTCTTAAGAAATATAACACTGTTCTAGGTTGCATAGTATACGTTTTAGGTTCTTTAAGGCTTTAAATAATTTAGCCGCGAATTTATCACCTTGAGTTTTGCTACTACTATTACATGGCTATTGGCGGCCATGATAATGCAGAAGTGGCGGCAGACGGAAGCTTCTCGCTTCAAGCAATCAATAAATACATAGGCCATACACAACTAAATTTGTTCCCAATAGATGCTCAACCGATCTTTCTATGAAAGGTAATGAAAGTTCATATTTGTTAAGATACTTTTACAATAAAAATATTCTCGTAATTCCCTTTGTTTTTTTTTGTCCCACTCACTGCTTTAGTTGAAATCTGCTGCACCTTAACTTTGGACCTGTAAAATTAGGAGAAAATCCAATTGAGGTCGCACATAACAGAAGAAAACAAAACAAAAAATCGTATTAGTTTTTTCTCTTATTGTCAAAAAAAAAACTTGCTCCTGGTTAGTTCTCCAGGAATTACAAATTTATTACAAATATTTGGATTTTTTTTTAAATATTGATGAAGTCTTAGAGAACTTTATATTTGTTCATCGTTTCACTTTCCACACGAGTCCAGCAGCTCACGTTTTCAACCTCCAGGCAAGACAACCAATGAATAACTTGCACAGACAGTATCTAGCTCTCAGTTTTATGGAAATATTCGGCTGGTTATGGCCGCATTGTTTAGCTTTCAATTTGAGGCAGAAATTTCGATAGCCATTTGGTTGCGTTTAAATCGTCCAAGGGAAAATATTTGGCTGGTCCTTTCGGATGAGCTGAACTTCTCATAGGTTAAAAGTTTGGTTGTTATTGGTTCAAGTTGCCATCTATACGTTATAGGTCTAACTTGCCATTTATGCGTCTCAAACAACCAAAAATTCATTAGAAATTATAAATTGAATTATGCATCTTCTCCAAATTAGAAGTTATAGATTAAATTTTCCTCGCTTCTTGCTAAAATGGAGAAACACATTATTTGCGTGGGCATTAAATATAAAAGAGAGAGTTGACAGTAAGACAACATCCGATGATGATGCCTTCGTATTTTTTTCTGCAATGTTCCTCATTACATCAAATTATCTTCTTCCGCAAGCTATTCAATTCGTTAAGATTTGCCTGGTCAATTGAACTAAATCGTATGAATAAGTGCATATCAGTACTGATCATTTAAAAATTTTTAGTTTGGGCTAATCTTGCTTTATTAACCTCATTACCTTCCTACTCGTCTATTGTTGTCATTTGGCTAATTTTGGCTACTTTTCTCTCAAGTGGACCAATGACTGGAGGTAAATTTTAAAAAGATCACTAAATTTGTGGATTTTATTTATCTTTAAATTCAGTATAATCTCTGCATATTTAGTAGGCAAATTATAAAGTTAACCGCTGTTACCCTGATCAATCGTTAACCAATGCAAGACAGAACCTGCCGGACAAAACCTTATCCACAATTTGATGCACAAGAGTAACAGCAAAGCTGCTACAGTCGGAATGACCATTTAATTATCAGGAGGATCGTACTTTACTGCGCACATTCAATAAATAACACAAACTACTCTCAATTGCTCGTGTATTTTACTGTCACAAAATACAAAAAAGAAATTCGCGGCCACTTAATATACATATATATGTCATCATTATTAGTTTAATCCTCATTTCTCCGTAAATCAGTTGATTGCAATAACTCAACCTCTAACCATAGTATATTTTTTGTATATATCTCCTCATTAAAGACACATTTATATTGTGGTCCTATACATAATTATGACACGCAAATAAGAAAGCGGGCCGATAATAATCATGATACTTTATTTACTGCTGTCTAGACTGGGGGTGAGCGTGACTTGAACACTGATGTGATCTGTCGTTTAGTTCATTCTCATGAACGTTGAAAAATTATTTGTACACGAAAAAGTAGAAATCCGAAGCCATCTGGATTGTGTTCATTAGTTTTGAGTGTAGCATACATGATTCGATGTTCTAACGTCGGCAGAATTACTGTCGACCTCTCCTGCAAATAATTGAATCAATCGATATGATGGCCCAAGGTTTTCGAGTGATCTTTGGTATGATACAATCGTTATCCAATCCGTGAACTTGGACTACTGAGCTATTTTTTCAATGAGATTGATGCAACTTTATTACATATGGGTTTAGTAGAAACCATGAGCTATTGACTCAGACTTTAGGACTTAGAGATATTAAAAGAAGAACAAATGTATTACTACGGGAAAACATGAATGCAAATCTCTAATTTAACAGAAAATACAAACACAGCCGCGCCTTTGTCGATGCAAAAGCAAGTGCGGGAGGTTTTATATGTACGAGCGTCAGCTGCACAATGCTACTACACACTCGAAGACCATGAAATAAATTATCGGCTATATATATATATATATACATAATATACTGTATTGATTGGCAAGCGCAAATATGACACGAACTTTTCACTGCAGAAGTCGAGTACAGCTATCGATAAAAACTACCATTGCTGTCAAAAGTTATATATATAGCAATAGGACAATTGAAGCAATGATAGAAATAGTTCAAGAATAGCCCACGGTCAATATAGAAACTATTATAAGGATTTAAAAACAGATTCAACATCGGAGAAGCAAGATATAATTATTAAAGATGGCATTTCTTATCATTGAAACGCCACGAAGCCTCGTTCAGTTATGTTTAAGTAACATTTTTGAGTAGATATCAATGGTCGAAAGCTCCTCTTATGCATATTTTCAAGCTCTCAGAACACATTAGCATGATTATTATTTATAACACCATTGTCGTAATCGTACGAACTGTATAATGTACATGCCTGCTGAAACATTTTTACTGCCACGAAGAGAAACGCGTTCAGAATGAAAAAAAAATACGGGTGCATGAATTCAGTTGATATGTTCCAAGTCTTCGCTTAGTGCTTAAAAAGCTTGGTAAGATTGATATCTATATATGGTTTCAATATAATTTATAATTCGCTTCCCAAACAGAGGTACGTCTTACTCAGTTAAGAACCGAATTTGAATTTGGCAATGAACTTAATAGAACAATTAAATAATTGCACGAAACTTCTAAAATTCACCAGCGGAGATCTGAAAACACGCGTGGCCGTTTTAATTATCACAACCCATCCAGGTGTCAACAGCAGCGGACACTTTCGAATAGTTGCTGTACATTTTTTTCGTCAGTCAATAGCTGCTTATATTACTATGCTTTGTAGCCTTCGTTGGAAAGATATATATGCTAATCTTATATGTTATTTTCACATAACGAAGTTTTATTTTAGGAAAATTTGTGCAATATTAATGTGATTTTTATGGCTTTTTTACGGCAGTGAGTTACTATTTTACGAAATGCCCAAGATTAATACGTAGGTTCTTGAGTTGTAGCGGCCTGCGAGGCCTCCAACACATTGCCGAAACACGTACGTACGGCTCTGTTCCCGCAGCGATAAAACTACTCCTAGGTGCAACATTGTACGAATGTAGTCGCTTCAACGTTGGCTGTTTTAGGTTGTTGCCGTATTAGTTAAAATCTGGCAAATCAAGGTATATCCTATACACCACAGTTATAGCTTTAATAACTTTCCGAAAAATAAACCTCGATGTAGTTGGCTTGGCGACCTCTTGCTAATGAAGCCCTTACTTAAGAAAGAGAGCCCAATTCAAGTAAGATTCGAATAATTGTTGCAAAGATGGACAATTTTTAAGATTCAGTACTTCTAATTTTCATTCAATTTCTAATCTGAAATCTTACTTTTTTTATGCAAATCAGAACTTCCGTCGTGACGTCTAATCGTCAAGGATTCCAGTGACATACTTTTTTTCACGTATCTATGGCATTGACTCATGAGATAATAAGTTAATTATGTAGGTATAACATAAACATAACATAGTGATGTCAGCGCTGAAGTGTAGGCCTGATGATGTCTGTCGCTGATTCTTTTCCTTTTCGTGCCTTGTTCACAGAAGATCTAAAATCGTGTCATTTTCGGATCTTTTCATGAATTTTTTCTCAACTATTGCCGGATCTTTTCATGACTGACGATAGTTTGAAACAGCTACTAGACTTCCACCGGGTCCGA